TCACAGGAGATTCGTGAGCATCGTGTGATACTGACCGTCAGAATCCAACACAGGAGATTCGTGAGTATCCTGTGATACTGACCGTCAGAATCCAACACAGGAGATTCGTGAGTATCCTGTGATACTGACCGTCAGAATCTAACACAGGAGATTCATGAGTATCCTGTGATACTGACCGTCAGAATCACAGGAGATTCGTGAGCATCGTGTGATACTGACCGTCAGAATCCAACACAGGAGATTCGTGAGTATCCTGTGATACTGACCGTCAGAATCCAACATATCCATTTTAATAAAATGGTCAGCTGTCACTTTCTTGAATTTGTAGGATACATTACACGTTTCACTTGTAACAGTAGTAACTATCGACTTGAACTATCATGATGGTCATAACGCCAATTTCAAGAAATAAGTTTTCTCATCACTCCCAATGGTCCAGTTGTATTATTATTATTATTTTACTGACTTTCGTTTTTCTACCAACACATACTTAATCTATGGTTGCTTAAGATAGTCCCTGTTGCTTTAGAAATAACATTTTCAATAAATACAAGTCATGTCATACGTTATTATTTATTTTGAAAATGAATATTGGTTCTATATCATCTATGAGACATATTTAAAAGTCCACTTTCTAAAAGTGTTTCTTTATCATAACATTTGTTCCTATTCATGTAAGTACAAGTAGCGGTAAGTATGAAGGCATATAACGCTGAACACTGGGTTTCGATACCCGTGGTGGGCAGAGCACAAATAGCCCATTGTATAGCTTTGCACTTAACAAAAACATAGCATTTATATATAATAATTTCTTCAAACAACTCGTGATATAAGTTAAAGATACCGCCAATAGAAATAATTAAAAATCTAAATTACGTTGATTAAAATAATTCTGACTATAGGTGTTAAAGGACTAGTTCACCACCAGACAACAATCAGGAAATGTTATTTATAAAGGTTTAATCCGATCTGTCCATAGCTCGTTCTACGTATGGCAACAGGTACGTGTGTTTGTGAGAGTGGTCCACTGACCTATCCCAGTTTTGACGATAAAAAGAGGTCAACTACTCCACGAGACGTTTAGGAAATCAAAAGTATACAAGTGGACTTGTTTCACTTGCGGATTTTAGTGTTGAAAGTGTATAGATTTACCGCTGTCTCATCAGGGGGACAAAGGAATGAAAATATTTAACATAAGCTTCCCACTTGTACTAATAAACTAATGTTGGGGACAATGGTATAAAAATATTTAACATAAACTTCCCACTTGTACTAATAAACTAATGTTGGGAACAAAGGAATGAAAATATTTAACATAAACTTCCCACTTGTACTAATAAAACTAATGTTGGGGACAAAGGTATAAAAATATTTAACATAAACTTCCCACTTGTACTAATAAACTAATGTTGGGGACAAAGGTATAAAATATTTAACATAAACTTCCTACTTGTACTAATAAACTAATGTTGGGGACAAAGGAATGAAAATATTTAACATAAACTTCCCACATGTACTAATAAACTAATGCTGGGGACAAAGGAATGAAAATATTTAACATAAACTTCCCACTTGTACTAATAAACTAATGTTGCTACATACTTGGTTATAAAACATTGTTTTTTTGTTGTTTGAAGTTAAGCACAAAGCTGCACAATGGGCAGACATACCACTGTGCCACTGGGGGAAAAATAAAAGTGAAATATCACACTCTAGAAAAAAACTTTTAATAGAGATTTAAAATCTTATTGTTGAAAGTGAAAACGCTGGCACGTGCAAAAACTCAGTATCGTATGTATACGTGAGGTATTCAAGGTAGCTAAGCTACCCTAGGGGCTCACATGACCTATCTTAGCCCCAAATCATGCAAGGCCCAATTGTGATATATATAAATTTAATACTCTTGGCGCCAATGAGTCCATTTGATGTCATCCAGTCTCAACTCGAACTAGACCCACTTGTAAGTTTCACAAAACCAACACTTATAAATTTCGTGGGTAGACCTGACATACAGTGAAAGGTTCACCTAAGAACAGAGCCGGCTCGACATCTTTCAGGCCTCTACGAGTCAAAACTAACCCCTTCTCCTAGTTACCCCTCGCTTGATGCCTGATATTACACGTAACAATCAGAAAGATGGTTTTGTTTAATCTGTCTTATAATTCTATATATTCGTTTGCTTATATAATTAGCAGGGTTGGACTGTTTGTCACCAAGTATTATTGCCCCAGGGCGTTCATAGGCCTACTTACGCCACTGCTAAAACTGTTCTAAAAAGCATCAGAGGAAAAAAGTACACGCGGAATTAATAAATATAAATAAACATTGAACCAGTGATTTTAAAATCAATAAGCCATTGTCGAAAAAACAAGGTGGTCAAGTATACAAAAATAGTATATAGTAATGTTGAATAAC